ATAGTCAGGGATCATAAAAACTAAGAAAAAGAAAGAAGGAGAAAAAAGAAAAAAAAATGAGACTTTGGATCAAGAACCCATCTGGTTCTTGTCAGGGACGATAACTGAACAGTGCTGTTAAATTTTAGCAAAATCTGGATGTGTGACTAGGAAGTCTTGGTAGTTTAAGGTTTTTAGTTCTCTCAGAATTTATACATTCTAATTCACAGTCACAAAGGATTTTGTTTTTGACTTTCTATGGTTCTATATTCACCTGGAAAAAATAAAAGTGAAAAGATATAGAAATGCTTGGCAGAGGACTTGTATGATGTTAAGAGATATTATACAATTATAATAAATATAAAAACATAGTACTAGAGCAAAAGAGAAGAGATCATCAGCCAATCAAAACAGAAAACCCAGAAATAGAAGTATACACAAGGTAGCATTAAGATTTTTCAAAATTAGTAGCAAGACAAGAAATTATTTCACAAATTTTGCCAGGACAGTACCTCATATCACCTATAAAATCAATCCATTAGATGAGTTAAATATTTAAATGTTAAAAAAGAAAAATGAATTAAAATAAGATTATATAAAAACATTCAGACTCAGTGGCATACACTTGTAATYCCAGTAACTCTRGAGGCTAAGTCAGGAGGATCACAAGTTTGAGGCCAGTCTCAACAACTTAGTGAGGCCCTCAGMAACTCAGCAAGACCCTGTCTCAAAGTTAAAAAAATAAAATAAAAAGGGCTGGGGGTGGAACTCAATGGTAAAACACCTTGGGTTTAATTCCCACTATTCCCTCTCAAAAACGGTTACATAAAAACAAATGAATTTAACTACAAAATATAAAACACACACACACACACACACACATATATATATATATATATATATATATTATATGCCTAAAACCAATAAAAATATAAATACACTAATAGAATAAACAATTCATGTCACAAAAATCTATACCAATTTATATTACCCTTAACAATGTGTAAGACAACATTTGACCTTACACTCTTGTTAATCCTTTTTCCCCATATTTTCCAGTACAATAAGTGAAAATTATATTTAACTCAATTATTTTTATTACAAAGAATATGGTACATYTTTAATTATAAAAATATTTARAATTTTGTTTGAGAGATTAATGCAAACATCTATTTTTTTGTTGGTTTTCAAGAAGCAAGACATTAAACAATAGTTTCAACCATAATAAATTRCTGATCTTAGATTTTTGAATGTACAAAAATGGCAATATCAGAGCCAGGCTTGGTGGCTCATGCCTGCAATCTCRGCAGCTAGGGAGGCTGAGACAGGAGGACCGTGAGTTCAAAGCCAACCTTAGCAACTGTGAGGTGCTAAGCATCTCAGTGAGACCCTGTCTCTAAATAAAATACAAAAAAAATAGGGCTGGGGATGTGGCTCAGTGGTGGAGTGCCCTGGTACCCTCTCCCCACCAAAAAATAAGTGGCAATRTCAGAAGGCTTAGCTTAACGGATACTGAGAGCCTATTTGGATTCTTCACTTGTTTGGTATCTGCTAACTTTATAGATCTCACTGTTTTCCTGACCATGATGTATGGAAAATAAATTAAAAGTTGTATTTCCATAAATGTTAGAGAGATTGATTGAAACATCTATGTTGTTGTTTTTTTGTTTGTTTGTTTTTAACGAAGGAAAACTGGTGTTTATATGAATGTTTAGTAAAGGCCAAACTCCTTCCATCTCCTGTAACATTTACTTCAAGAAAGAATCGTTTCTTGTAATTTATCTGATGTGGCTGCCTAAATATCTTTTTGAAGGCATGGAACACACTGTCTGCTACCATGTGGTCACTATTTCAGGCGGTGTAGTCTACTTTAAAGTCCCAAACATGACCTGTAATTCTGGCTCTTTGCTTTTAGTTTGTTATATCAATTCCCCTTCTTCTAGATCCTTCACTTATCTAAACCGTATCTATCATTCACATTCCAAATCAAGGCTTATTCATTTACAGGAGACTGTGGGGGAAGGCCAGTCCTTTCTAAAGTACTTTCTAAAGCACCCATGATCCACTCTGTTAGAATCTGCTTGTCTATGTGTCTCACTTTCCTGATAAGCTTCAAACTTTCGTGTAGTACCATTCACTCAGTTCTGGACTATTTGAACCATAAACGTCTTGGTCACTAAYGCATGCAAAGTATTTTAGTAAACTATTTCACTTTTCATTCCAACTGGCCTAGTGACAGTTGCGATGAGCATCAGCCCCAAGTACTTGAGACAGAAAGCTCCACTGTACTATGTGACAATCACATCCCTATTTTTTTTTTTTACCTCAATTCTCCTTTTCCTCCAGTAGGATCTGACTTTGCTAAATGATTTTTCTCTTCAAGCGCAACCACCAGTGGAAGATGTTCTTTCCCAGGAMGGGATAAGGCATTGATTCAGGAGAAGGCATATGCTGCCGGCAAAACTCTTCCAAATCTTTTTGTCATCTTGGCTTTTGGACTTCAGGAAAATAATAACAAATATGCAAACAGAAAGAAAAGTGGCAAGACATTTTCATGGTTTCTTAAGAAGTGCTTTTTTGTGGTTAATGCCTCTTTGTGTTACGCTGTCCCTGAAGATTATAAGTCATGTTCACAGCCTTGTCCATTGTCTTTGGAGTTTTAACAAATTTATTAAATAAGACTTGCTCATAGTTAGGATGTCTACCTGAGTCATGTCTCTTCCTGGCCTTAATAAGATGAGGCCCTTTAATATTTAACATAGACTTCTTTTATTAAAGTTATATGACTTAAATAATGAGAACAGTTTGGTTGCAGCATTCACACATAACGTTGTCTTTAATTCCGTTTATTCTTTTATTTTTATTATTGTGTCTTAAAATATTTAAGAATGACMTATGCCCTCACATTTTTGAACCCTTCAAATGTTTCTGAAACTCAGAGTAAGCTACCAGATATATTTTTTCTCATTTGACGTATTGTTTGCTCCTTGGTGTAGAAGACCACAATAATATATCAATAATTTATGTSAGAGGAAGTTCTAAGGTTGCTACTTGAAAGATATTACATTGCTTAGGGAGTGATTTTATTTTCTTAAAATATTCAAAAGAAAGTATGAGCAAAACCTATTTTTTATTTTATTATGTTTGTTATGAGGTTATAATTTGATAACTGTCCTGTTTTTACCAAAACTAAACTTAGATTAAAAATCTGCAAATGAAAAAAAAATAATATGTGTTTAGTTCCAAGTACTCATTTTATTTTCAAATTTCTGTTTACCCATCAGTGACTGACTGCAAGGCGTATTTTCTGCTCTGCATACCTTTTCATCTTGGAGGTTAGAGAATTACCCACCACCCCCACCTCCATCTCCTTACTTTTCTATTTTTTTCTAAGTCCTACTCTTCACAAGGAAGTCAGAAGTGTGACAGAAAGGTGTGATTTTTAATTTACACCAGAGTCTCGCAAATAATGACTTTTCACACCCTGATATTGCTGCTTAGCCTAGGGGAGGAGCTCTGTGGCTACTGTTTGTCGTAGCAAATTAAATCCACTGCTGTAATTCAGGAAGACATTCTTCTATATTTAACCCTTGTTTTCAACTTGTGTTTGTGAATACTTATGAGTGTATGGCTTATTACTTTGAAGTATGCTTGTTTTCTAGGAAATCATTTTTGGAGACTGTTATTGTCAGATTGTCAAGTTTGAAGGGAAACTTCTTTCTCCTTTCTACTGTTCTCACAGTGATGGTGGTAATTGTAACTTATTTAAATATTCAAAAATGAAGACTATGACAATATTTACTTTTAAGACTTCCAGCAATAAAATTGAACTACATAGTCCAACATATACTTTTATTTTTTATTTTATACTTGATATATATATATATATATATATATGTCTTTATAAATTAAATATTTAACATTTATAAATTAAATATCTTACATATGTATTTATATTTTATTCCATTCCTCCAAGAGTAATTTTTCTGTCTGTCTTTACAGAATGGTCAGTATTTTGCTATACTCATAAATATCATTGAAATTGAAAATAATGTTAAAAGAATAAAATCTTTAAAGTTTTTTTCAGTTTCTGCCCAATCCATTAGAAGTCTTTTGTACTGAATTGTAAAAAACAAATGATCTGCTTAAGGACAATAGGAAAAATTATCAATTTTTTTAAAATAAGAAAAATCATTGAAATYGGTATACTAGATGGCTGCAGAATAATAGCCTGTACAAGAACAATAAGAAATARATCTTGCAAATTCTGTGTACACTTCTCTCACTTAGACAAATATTAGAAGAATTTAATTATTTTCTGTTTCTAAGTCTGCCCAATTAAGTAGAAAAGAGAAATCAGTGTTTGAGTTCATCCTAGTTCCCTTACCAATCATAATGGTGTTTAGTGAGTTCTAGAACTGAATGGGTTATGAGTGGTATTGGAAGAAAGGGCAGGTACACTCGGATTCTCCTGAGGCTCCTCTTGCTAAAGCAGACCATGAGCAGGGGCTGCGAGCTCTCTCTCCAGGCTGGGAGCAGCAAGGGGTTAAACAGTCCTGGTGTAATAAGTATCTCTGTCAGGCTTTCTTCTGATCCTTCCTCTTTTCCCTTCTGCCCACCCTTTTTGTAAATGTCAACCACTTCCTGATGGTTTCACACCTTTCTTTTCTTTGTGAAGAAACCTGGGTGTACCATTGTATGTTCTGGCTGGCCGTGAGTAAAGCTGAGGGATGCCTGTGGGGAAAAGTAGGAGCAGGTGAAGATATTTTAAAAATGAGACCAGGCAATGGGTTAAAATCAGTCATGTTTGTAACATGTCTGTTAGTTTTCTTAGCAACTTTTAAATATGTATTATAAAAATATTCATTTTTTAAAAAAMTTAATGTTGGGAGTCTAAAGGAATCTAGCAGAAGAACGAGATGGTTCTTTTTTAAATATATCAAAGAACGATAATCAGGAAAAAACAAGAAMAACAACACTGGAGTATCCTTCCCTGGCCTTTTACTCTACAGGTGTACTATTTATAGGATCCTGCAATGGAAACTTGGTCAGTTGATCAGGTCTGCCTTTGGCTGGTGGAGAAAAACTTAGGAGAGCTAGTGCCTAGGTTTCAAGGTGAGTTGTTCACCCTTTTAAAAATCTTATTTGAGCAGCCTGGATATTGTGARTTTCTTCTGTTATTAAAAATTACTTTGCTGCTTCATGTCTGTGTGTATGTAAAYGTGTATGTGGAATTACTGCAGYAAAGAACTTTTTAGTTCTTTATTTACCATGAAAGAGTTTTTATTTTACCTAGTATCTACAGGAGAAGATATTGCAAGATGAACTCRGTCTTGAGAGGGACTTAAAATACTTATTTGATACATATATTTTATATAGACTTTGCCTTATATAATCTAGTATGTGCAATGTTAGATATATAAGTATTTAATATTGGTCAGGAGGTATTACTAAGAATTATTTCCCAAGAAGTTTTTTTTTTTCTTTATAAAAATAATGCATGTTACATGGGGCAGGAGGCAGGGAGGGAGGGGGGAAGTGCTGAGGAGTGATATTGGCCAATTTATATTGTTATATTTATGCATGTAGGAATATGTAACAGCAAATCCTATCATTATGCACAACTATAATGCACCAACAAAAATATGAAGAAAATAAAAATACTGCAATTTAGAATTAGAATGGGGAAAGGGCATTGATGAGTAAATACAAAGTTTTTATTGTGAATCCCTTTCCTGGTTCTTTTTTAGAAGCAGACATCAATTTGGAATTGTATAATATCAAAGTTATATTTTTGTCAAAGATACATACAATTTTATAACCACAGAAGACAAGTTTARACAATCCTTTCAACACCAGAAATAGTTCTGTTTATAAAGCTTGTGTTTTGCTGTGTTTTACTGGGAAACCATATAGAAACTAATTTTTATCTGTTTCTCAGAGGAAGAAGTAAGTGGRGCTGCTCTTCTAGCACTTAACGATCGGATGGTTCAGCAACTGGTCAAGAAAATTGGGCATCAGGCTGTTCTGATGGACTTAATTAAAAGATACAAGCAGAACAATCAAGGACCAAGGTTTCCTGGAAGCCCCAGGGAGATAAGCCTGATCACACAAACAGAAGCAACCCCAGCGTAAGTGATGTTAACAAAAGGCCTTGTTTTTGATACTATGCTCTCCCAAGAATGGCTAGAGCATGAAGGTTGGGGTTTAAAACTTTTTTGGAAAATGTGACCGTGTTTAGCTAGACTTATGTGTAAAATATTTCTAATATTTGAGGAAAGGGCACTCTGCAAAATTTTATGAATCAAGATACATCATATTTTTATTCACCACGCTTTAAACACTGACTCCAATTGGTGAAGTCCTAAAAGGAGGGGGTTCCTAAATAAAATGMTGTAGGATGAGCAGTGGAAATATAAGTGAAAAAGTGGAAATGAATTCCTGGAAATAAGATTTTAATCCACTAAGCCCCATTGTCCTGGATGTGGGACACCTATAAAAACTTAAATTGAGCAACAAATATACCACTTAAGGTAACTTTTGAAATAAATATTATGTTTTTAGAGTTCTGTACTTTTGAGAAAATCAATAAGCGAATGATTAGAGCCCTTGAAAATGCATATACAAAGAATTTAAGTTCTAGATTGTGATTTCCAACCTATTTTAATGTGTCGAATTTGTTGAAATATTTGCAAGACTGAAAACTTGGGAATTACAAGTTAAAAAACAGGGCTTGCAAAAGGCATCTGTGTCTGCTCCTGGGTATTTATTTATGCATTTGTGTCCTTTAGGACCCTATATAGTGACTAATATATACTATCCTCTAGAGGTCTTCGAAATTTGATTTACTAACCACTCTTGCCACAATGAGTTTCCTAATTCTTTAAGCGTATCTTTAGAATAATTAATGCTATGATAGCACCCCACAGGAAACATGTGGAAACATTTGTGGTGGCCCATAAAAGGCTTTGTTTTTGATCCTATGCTTTCCCAAAAATGGCTATAGCATGAAGGTTGGGGGTGTGTTTTTTTTTTAATCACTGATTTATGCATTGAAAAAAAATGTCAACAGAATTAAGCAAATTAATTATTTTTATTTTACAAATCTATATCCAGGATGCTTTCAGGCATTCTTATTTGATGTTTCCTTATTAAGAACTTTTTGCAAAATTTTTTGAAATGAAATACTTGCTTCAGACCAATCATTCATTTAAAAGTAAGGTTGTCATGTTTGATGATATCCATTCTATTTTTATCTTTTTGGAAGTTAAATGGGTAATTCCCTCTTTCTCTTTGATAAGGAATACAATATTAATGAGAATTGGCTCAAGTATTGATTTCTAGGATTTTTGAATATTTGGGACTTAAAGGCTATAGGTAGTCTTGAAGGGCTGGTGTACATGGCCTATAAATTCTCCCAGATGATTTATTTGAAGGATTTCTAAGCACCATTATGGTGTATTCTCGAACATATGGCTTTTGTAGAAGTTCCCATTGCAAGCTTTTACTCCTGTCCAGCAAAAGAGAGGGTGGAAGTTCAAAGCCGGTGCAAAGTAATTTCCGGGCATTTTTGATGAGTAGAACTTTTGAACTGGAAGTTCCTCTCAGTTGACTGGAATCTTGATATTGCCTTAGGCACAGCTTAGAAGAGAACAGGCATCAGTTTTTTTCCACTGCAAATCAGTTTATAATGTTCTCTAGTAAATGAGAGTTGGCTGGATTGCCAGGAAATCTGGGCTTTGTTCCTGGTTCTTCCACTGACTTGGATTGATTTTACTAAATGTTGGCACCCCTGYCTCTTCATCTGCACGTTGTGAAAGTAATATAATACCTAACTCCTGTCAATTCACACTCATGTCAGGAGTATTGTAATTTCTGGACAGAGCAAATCTCTCTTCACTTTCCCCACTCAAAAACAGTGCTTTGTTAACTTGTCCAAGAAGGCTATTTTTGAGGGTAGCCAATACTGGGAACACTGATTGCCCAAGGATTTAGGAGGGGACACTCATCACTTTACATAGTAAATAGCCAACTCACTTTAAGGATTGTGTTCTCTTGTACTTAGGTTAGATTATTCAGGTGTAAAATTACAATTTCATGCGAGAAGAGAATGTTTRTTGGTTATGTTTGCTTATTGTCAAATATATTTGTCAAATATATCGTCACTTGACAAGTTTGTTGTCAAGTAGGAATGATAGCAGAGAAACATGAAAATATGCCCTTTAATTAAACCCTCATGGGAAATGCTTATAAAGATTCGAAACTTGGTATGAGAAAGAACCCGGAATTTAGGTATCAAAATATCTGCTTTCAAACCTCTGTTAGGATATTTGCTACTCATCTAACAAAAGAAGATAAAACTTGGACATTTGTTTGACTTGTTTTAGTTTTAGCTTCTTCAAGTGTAAAATGTAGTGGGTAAAATAAATGAAGCTTTTGGCCCCTTCTGAAGAGTCTGTAAAGGCATTCCAGATCAGAGACAGGTTTCAGATTCCATTTAATGGCCAATGGTTGCCTCGTATGTTATTTTTGCAAAGGATTTCTGACATTCTATTTAGAACTAAGCAAACAATAGGATATCAATAGGAGAGTATTTACAGTTACTTTATGGTGGCCTTGTTGAATCTGGTAGAAAAATTACTGGACAGGAAATCAGGAAAACTGAGTACAAATCTTGGCACTACTACTGAGTAGCTTGTGGCCACGAACAACTTGCTTTCCTTTCTGGACTTCAGTTGTATAGCTTAGAAAATGAGAGGGTATGGCTCTAAGAATGATGAGATTTTACAGGTAATAAATGCTCCCCCCAAATGGCAAGGAGTGGAGAAAGGATCTGACAGGTAACCATTTTATTTTGCTAAATAAGTATATTAGCCATATGTACTATTATCACTCTCATTTCATAAATGAAAAGATTATCTTAACAGCATTTAAAAATAAGACAGATTGAGGGCTCCAGGCATAGCTCAGTTCCATTCCCAGTTCCAGGAAGAAAATACAACAGATTGGTGAAAACACCATCACAAACTGGTATCTGTATACTTCTTAGCATATAGAATGCACTGAGGGAGACGTCTTCAGTAGGTCCTCCCTTTTAGTCATTAGTCTCACATGTGCTTGGACAGGAACTCAGATCACAGCATTTACTGTGGGTTGACCCCTTACCCTCAGAGCTGCTGTGAGGTCAATGTTTGGGGCTGTCATTGAATAGCCTCACATCAGTTCTTCCTTCTTTTCTTGGTTCCAGGGATATACAGTCCTCCAGTCCAGCCAGTCATGGGGAGCAGATGCCATCTTTCCATCCAGCTGAAAACCTTGATAATGGACTAATTGACCAAAGAGTATTGAAACAGAGGTGAGGTACCAAAGTTAAGACATTTCAAAGCTAAATGATAATATTCTTCTTTATTTGTGATGAGATTTCATGTGTTTAAATGCRTTTCTAATTTGAAACTCTTTGTTTCCCTAGAAGGAAACTTTTTAGTAAGTGATAAAGATGTTTAGTACCACTTGAAGATTAAATTTTATGTGTTTTGCCCTAAAAAAAATGAAGTTTTGAAGCGATGTTATACATCTCTTTCAAGTATGTATTTTAAGGAAAAATAAAAGAGGATTTCATAAACTTGTCCAAATTAATTTGCAGTGGCTACAAAATGATGGAATTTATTCTGTGGATAATGTTCTATAGAATATGTCTTGGGTACAGTCTTTGCTTTGTTTTGAATTTTGATGTTGTTCCTTTAATTTGACTATTGAGAGACAGTCCCTTTATGTTCCTATTCTRTATTTTATATGGTATAATATTTCAGTGTATTGGTTCCATTGAAACAAAGGAAAGTTCTAGACCTAGAGAACCACACGTAGGAATATAGTGCTCAGATAAAGTCGTCAGAGTGATCATTGGTAAGAGGAGCTTCCTGAGCCTTTCACGGCCACCAGGCAGTGCATGCATCTATCATGCATGACAGATATCATCTCTTGTCACTAACTAGCCAACACTTCTCTTCAGGGGCACTGTCATTGAAAGGAGTGACTGCTGGCTTGCACAGAGGGGACAGCCAGGCAACAGCCAAGCAAAATGGTGTTCATTTAAAGTTTTCATGCACCCTTTATTCTATCGTCTCATTGAGTCCCCAGAGCCTTGAAATGCTGTTCTTTTAAAAAGTAGGTAGTGGAAAATAAAAATATGCTATYGTTGGCTGAATTTTTGAGAATCATATTGCTAGGGAGGCCTCTTTCCTTCAGAGAACTGTGGTGCCACTGTGTACCCATAGTGTAAYACCATTGGTTTCCCTGAAAGAGAAGTTACAAAGAAAGGAGAAGAAAAATATATCAAACTGGAATGGCAGACAGGAAGATGTCTGTTGTTTCATGAAATGCATCAGGAAGTCCAGAGAAGGCTATTTATTGGTTCCTGATTCCCATTGGGTTAAAAATCCAGAGATGAATTTCTCTTTTCAAAGTAAGAAAATTAAATCCAAATGAAAGGCACAAATGTATGGCTAGTGGATTTATCTCCAAACAGAATATAAACCAAAAGTGATGGCTTGGGGACAGAAATTTTCAAATAATTTCTTTATTGGAAATATATTTAAAAAAAAAAAAACCCCACCGTCTTTAATGGAAGTCTGAGAGTTTAGAGAATCCTAAAGGATGATGATAAAGTTCTAGGTGGTGGGCCTGGTGAGCAACCAGTTCATACTGGGCAGATGGAGTCCCAGGGGCTGCAGAGCTGGGGAATGGAGAGATCACCTGATGTGGTTGAGGGTGCGAACTGTTTGACAGAGCAGTCACTCCTTTCTGCCCACAGGGGCTTGTTGATTCTTACAACTCTACTTTGTGGTGGCTGCAGCCATGAGTTTTCTACTACTCCTTTCTTACATGAAACTGCTAAATGCAGCCAGTCTTTTCTGCCACTATTGAAGTGTGAATGGAGACAGGATGATTAATCCTAGTGGGACCTACTCTGGTACCACTGTTTCAGATCTGAAAAACAGAGATGATAAAGATCTTTTCTCAGGGTGCTATCATAAGCATGAAAATAGATGATACCTGCTGAGTTCCAAGGAGAGTGGAAGCACATCAAAGGCCCTGGTGTACAGCCGTTTCCCCAGCCTGCTTGAGTATTCCTACTTGTCCTGGGGCATCTTTTCTCTCCCTACCTGCTGCCATTGGGAGATGAGGATGTGACCTTCTGTACATGCAGGTCTTTTCTCCTTCCAGAATTCCTGTTCCTTATAACTGTGCTATGATACTGGGAGAAAAGGATTATTATTTCCATTTTTTTTTCCACAAAACTGAACAAAGAATGGCCTGTGTTTCATCATATTTCTCATTCTTCATAACCAACGAGGGGGAACAAAAGAACAGGATTGCCTTAGAAACTGAGAGAAATGGGAAGGTTTGGAAATCATAACTGAGACCCCCAGGCCTTTTTCTCTCATCACAGCGTCTCTCCTAAGCCTTGGACTTGTGTCTCTGACCTCCCTTCGCCCATTTCTCTACACAACAGCCTCAGTTGTTTTAAAAGCGAGCTTATCTTCCTGCCTTAGAGCAGGCGTGGTTGGAGCATCTCTCTGTTGTTTCCCATCTACCTCCTTCCTTTGCTTCTTTCTATGCAGATGGCTTTACCCTTTGCTCTGCTGTCCTCAGACTGGCTGGCACAACTGACTTGCCACCTCCAACTCCAAAGAAAACTCTCCCTGAAATCAGCTAAGGGCTCAAGTCCTTCCTGTCAATAGACCTGACTTTCCAATGCTGCTTCATTCTAGAATCTGGGGAAAAGAAACAGGCCCAGTGTGAATCTCTGTGACAGAAGAGGTGGATAAGGGCAGGATAGAGATGCCTATTTTAAATATTTCCCCTCAGGAAATCTGCCTTCTCTCTAGGTCTGCTGATTGGGCTGGAATGGAAGATTCTGTCCCTTCTGATGTACTGCCTCATTCAGGATACCATCTGGCTTGTGAGCTAAAATAATGAGAGCTAAACTTGATGCTTTCCTCCTGGTCCTCTGCTTAGGGCACTATTTACTCAACAGTTATTGATTAAGGGCTTCTTGAACGACTTTTGTATGAGGCTGGGTTTCTCACCTAAGACCTGCTTATCCTTTAAGACTGCTCGAAATCCCTCTCCAGCAAGCCTCCAGAGATGTTCCAGACCATTCAAGGAGCCCTTCTCTATGTAGTACTCTCTATGTATCTTTTGCTTTGCTTGTAAAAGTAGATATTGAAATTGATTACTTTTAAGTCTGTATTCCCTCCTTAGACACAAGCACCATAAAGACTAAGACCATTTCCTTTTGCTTTTATAAACTGGTATTTATCTCAGCTTCTGGACTAGAAGCTCAATCAGATGTTTAAAATCGAACTAAGGATATGTGAGCCAAAGAAAGATTGAATATAATTTCAAGGGATAGGAAGAATACTTAAATAGCCTCCATTACTATATAGACCTTTTGATACAATCCATAATACATATGCTAATTTTTTAACAGAGTTGAATTTAACGGGTTAATAAATCATTTACCTACATCAGGCTAAAAAGCTGAAGGTATTTGGCCATAGGGCTTCCACAAAGCCAACTGCTTTCAGGAGGTAGAAAGGGATAGTAAAGAAAATGCTGGCATTGGGGTCATCTCTAGACTCCCCGATTTACTTTGCACCACATGGGATGGAACCACCCATCTTGATATATAGTCTCTGAATTCCAAATGAAATAACTATCAAAGCATCTGTCACCGCACCACACACAGTGGCAGTTATCATTCTTGAGATATTTTCCCCTATGTTCCTTGAAAGGAACATATGTTTTCCATCCAGACAATTTGCAAACAAAAAGAAAAAAGAAGAATCTGGAGACTGGAAAGTCACCTGACTTTGGCTCTTGAAGAGTCTAGCAATAGTGAAAAAATGAGGTATGTGTGTCCCCGTGGATGAACTGGAAAGAAACGCTAGCATGTTGTAGCACAATGCAGCTTTCTTTGGTGATGGGTGACCTGTGCTCTTTACTGAATTACCTAAATATTCTTTCTGGATACAAGGATTGTGGGTCCCAATCTCATCATGTGTTGGTAGTCCTTCAAGAAGAGCTTTCTCTGCATTGAGATTCTTTTTTCTTTTCTTCTTCTTCTTCTTCTTTTTAAATCTACCCTGTTAGAAACTGCTCGCTTCTCCTTCAGTAGCTAATAGTGCATAAAATCAGATAAACAGGTAGCAGTTTCCTACATGTTACTTTAAAGGCACTTCATTTGAACTTGAAGTATATGTGTGCAGATGTTTTGCTTGTGCTTTGGGGCATAGCTATAAATTAGTCATGGTTTCATGCATATTTAAAAATTCTTTTAATGATGAGGAATTTTTTTCCCCTTTGGTCTGACTACTGCTATGAAATGGTATAAAGGGAGATTACCCTTTTTCAGCCTATGCTCAGTAAGTGAAGCAATGTCAACACATTCAGTGCATTATTTTTAGTCACTCTCACACAGGTAGCTCAGACAAGGGATGACAGGGTTGTGTGTGCCTCCTATTCCAGTATATAAGAAAAGGTAGATTTAGGAGGGGGAGGCAGGCTAGTTACAGGTCTCATAGTACAAGTTTCAATTAGATGTGTAAGATTAGTCTTCTCAATTCCTATACGTCTATTTCCTCTATTAGCCGAGAGCTCTAGGAGGTGGGGGTGTCAGGGACCACTCTTACTCACTTCTGTAGGGCCTGACACGACACAGAGTAAGTGATCAACAGATGTTTATTACATGAAGAATCAGATGTATCAAGCATTTTTTGTGATCTTCTCCTGAGTCAAAGATATGTGACCATAATAGAGAATGAAGGAGCCTTGTAAGAGAACAAGGGGTGAGACATGATAACTTCAGACCTATTGCCTTAGTCACAGCTATATAAGGCAGATGGGGCAGGTAAGAGGTAAGTGCAGGTATTGAACCAGGATGACATCCTGGTTATAGCCAGATTGGTAAATTTGGAGAAACAGGATAAGCAGGTAATTAAGAGTTTAGTTTTAAACCCTAGCTCTGCTATTTACCAGATGAGTGATGCTGAGCAAGTTCTCCAGCCTCAGGGAGCCTTACTTTTCCCATCTGTAAAATAAATAGAAGAACAAGTTAATGTATTAAAAAATTTTAAGGCCTGGGGCGTAGTATGAACACATAAATCTTAGCTATCATTTTTTATTTTCTGGCTGGTTACCAAGCATAGGGTTCAATGAGACTCAAAAATTCTGCTCTCAATTGTAAAAAGTGGTCCCAGGGATTGCACCAGGAAGTTCTGTCAGACAGCACAGACAGCAGTGTCTGGAAATCCGTCCAGGACTCAGGCTCCAGGCAAGAGGAGGAGATGCTCT